AGCCAAGGTACGACTGTATAAATCTTGTTAAATTAAAAACAAACTTAACAGATGGTGTGGAAACTGGCTCCCTTAAGGGCTGCCTTCTGCCACAAGTGCCCCCTCACACATTCTGCTGGAACACCTGAGGTCCAGCTCCAAGTTGCCCTGTCAGCTGAGGTTCAGCAGATGGGCAGCAGAGGAAGGGCCAACTTTTTGGATTGCCCTCTTCACTATTTGCTTTCCAGCAGCAGATGAGAACCCGGCTCTTTCAAGAGGCCTTTGATGGAAGCTGAAGCAATCATTTGTTCTGACGGCTGATTTTTTATTACTGTATTTTATTGTATTGTTTCCACTGCCTTGATCATTTTGTATTCCTGTGCTGTTAGCTGCTTTGAGCTCCCTAGCGGAGGAAAAGAAGGGCAGAATTTTTCCTGATGTGAAATAAGAACAATACCAACAAATTTCCTTCTGTTTTCATCAATAAAAGATGTTGGGTACAATTCACTTTCAGTAGCTTTACGTGCATTATTTAAAATGTGCAATATTTCACGATAATCCTCAAGGTAATGCTTTACTCTGCACAATAATATTTGGCTCCTGGAGTTGAAGAGTATCACATCCAAATGTCACGCTCCCAGAAATTTATTTGTTTGCCCTCGCACGAGCAGAAAAGCAATTTCCCTTTCCACAGCGAATCTAACTTGCCACTGACTGTGAACTGTTTCAGGCCTATGACCATGAACCAGGGAACAGCTCAAAGTAGACACATACAGAATTGAACAGTTAATGGCTTTTTTCTCCTGAAATGTTCAATACTTTCTGCTTTGGTACAAGAAAATGCTCTTTTTATAAAGTAATAAATTGTGCTAAAATTGAGATTTGGTTCATGGACTTGGGGGCTAAACAACTGCCTTATGAGAGTGGTATTCATCTATGGTTTGTGCAAAGCAGACCTACTGAAACTAATGGAGCTAACTTAGCAATGTTTATTAACTTCAATGGGTCTACTCTGAGGAAGACATAGTTGAATACCAGTTTCAGGTTATACAGAGGGGCTTTGGAATTTCTCTTCAGTAACTTGATAAGGCAGGCACTCCCCAAACTCCCAGGAATTTTGGAAACTGCTTTGATGCAGTGCAAAGGTCAGTAATGGTGATGGGGGGGGGGGGCGGAGATAAGCAGGGGAGCTGGTACTTGTATGTGAATGTTTGCACTCACCTAAGGGGAACTTTAAGTAACCTCACTGAACCCTGAGGGACTAAGACTACTATTGCACTTTAAACACCTCTGGTTTAAAGAATTTAGAGGACCACCCTCTCCCACCATAAGCAAGTTGTACAATTATCCCTCATAGGTCTTATCCATGCACAGACATTTCTAGTATCCGTATGAACAGCCGCATAGATTTTTGAGGGCCACTATTTATCTGGATGCTAGAAACCAGATCGGTAGCTGGGGGCGGGGGGGCTAGCCAGGTTTTTTGCCCCAGGTGAAGGGGGGGAGGGTTGTCAAACTGGGTCTTTGACCCAGGTGAAATAAAGCCTACTTGCACCCCTGTATAAAGCTAGATGCAGGAGATTACTCTGGAAATGTGTTACTCTTAGGGGAATTCTTTCGCTGAGGGCAGAGGGGTCACACTAGTCTAGCAGCTGGCAACCTAAACTTTGCACATTAAGTCTACCCATCCCATTTTGTAGTGCCATAGTACCAAGGAAAGAGGAATATTATTTATTTAGATCTCAGAGCAGTTCACAAGGTGCAACAATAGCAGGCTGGCATACGATCGTCCGAGAGGCAGAACGCCATGTTTCAGCATGTGAACGGCTGCTGCATGACTAAGTGGTCTTTTGCCAACTATGCACTGAACTGCCCTAAGGCCTACTAAGCAATCGGTCTTAAATGTCAATTCATAGCAGGCTGCTAAATCTTCTGCACAGGGACATGCAGCAATTTAACGATGGTCCCAGAGGGAAGTAACTTATTAGGCATTCCTGGTTCATGAAGCGTCTTTAACTTTAGGGCTGCACATTCTTCAGGACAACAAAGCTCTGTTCTGGGGTGCACTCTGAGCTCTTTGACAAAATAGTGGGACAGAAATATGATTTTATTTTATTTTTAAAGATGGCTCCCTGGATGCTTTTTGACAAATTGCTTTTAGCCTTGTAAATTGAAGTTCAAGGGGTAGACACTCCCACTTTACTCAACTGAGCCCCATATTTCTTCCCCTGGTCATTTTTCGACAAGTTTTAAAGGAAATTATAAGTAAGTATGGGAGAAAGGTCCATAATAATACATTTTCGCTGCTGAGCAAGCCTGGGAGAGGAAATACTCCTCCCACTTAAAGACATCTCAAAAAGGTACAATTAAAACCTAAGGGAAAATACCAGCATTTCTGGATTTCAATTCTGACAGGCCTGCTCATTGCTAACACAGGAAGAGCACATGTTTTTATTGTTTATTCTAGAAATTGCACGGTGACCGAGAACTTTCATTAAAACAATGACTGACAGGAAATGAATGGGCAGCACATGACACAGGCAAAGCATGTTAGATGTTAAGGTTGCAATCCTATACACATTTACAAGTAGGGAAGAACTACTGAGTAACATGGGGCTTACGTCTAAGAAAACAGGTATGGGTTTGCGCCATTCAGTGGGTCAGACCCACATCTAGCCATGCTTGGAGTAGACTCACGAAGATCAACGGGACTCAAGTTAGATCCAGACAAACGCTGAACACCTAACCATGTCTACTCATAAGTAAGTTCTATTGAATCCAGTGACTAAGTCTGCTTCAGTTAAAAAGCCCAGAAACATTGTGTGCTTCAGCATTTCACGAGCGGGATACCAAATGTGCTGCCAAAATCCATTTTAGCAAAGTGCCGAACGACAAATGACTCACCATCATCATCAACAAAAGGAACACATTCCTGGCCACCCCACAACAGGTATGCCTATTTTCTGGAGGCAAGTCAGCAGAAATACAGGACTGGAAAATGATAGGTTAATTATTACGTATGAAGCTGCCTTGGGTCCATCCAGCTCCACAATGACCGGGAGGGACCCTCCAGCATTTTAAGGCAGGAGTCTTATGCTAGCGCTGGGGATCGATCCCAAGTCCCAAGTCCTTGTGCAGATGCTCTGCACAATTCAAAGTGTTGGTGCTGACCTTTAAAGACCTAAACAGCCTCGGCCTTGTATACCTGAAGGAGAGTCTCCACCCCCATCATTCAGCCCGGACACTGAGGTCCAGCTCTGAGGGCCGTCTGGCAGTTCTCACACTGCAAAAAGTGAAGTTACAGGGAACCAGGCAGAGGGCCTTCTTGGTAGTGGCGTCCGTGCTGTGGAACACCCTCCTATCAGATGTCAAGGAGATGAGTAACTATACAATCTTTCGAAGACATCTGAAGGCAGCCCTGTATAGGAAAGCATTCATGTTTTATTATGCTTTTATATATATTGGAAGCTGCTAAGAGTGGCTGGGGGAACTCAGTCGGATGGGCAGGGTACTACTACTACTACTACTACTACTACCACCACCACATTTTTTAATGTATAAGCTCAACAAATCTGGGCAATCACCCCCCCTTTTTTGTTGCAGTCCAAAAAAAATAGCGGTCGTCTTATACATGGAAAAATATGGTAATAATAATAATAATATAGCTACAGCTGTTTTCCATGGCTGATTGTTTCCCATGTGTGAGCTCCTCCAACCCTCATTTCCTGGTGTAGATCTTTATTTCACCCTTGTTAGCTGGTGTAGATCTTCATTCATCCCTTCTTCTCTGGTTGTGGCAGGGTGCCATTTTGTTTTTACCTCAGGTGCCAAAATGTCTTGGGCTGGTCCTGTATCCAGGCATTCTAACTTGAGATTTCAGTTATTCTAATAATTTTTAGGGTTTTTTTTATTGTTGTAGCGATACATCTCTGAAATCCTAAAAAGGATGAAGGGGTGGTATACAAATGCTTTAGATATGTAAAACAAGCAAAAATAATCATGGCAGGGAGTGGTGTAAGATTTTAATGTATAAAAATCACTTGCTAAAAGATCCGGGGGGGGGGGGGGACTTAATAAAAAGAAAGGGAAAAAATGACACTTTGAAATGCTGACATAGCATACCAGAACTGGAGTAGAAAAATTAATTAAGAAAATGTTCAGAGGGAGGCACCAAATGTAAAGAAAGTCCAGAATTTTTTTAATTTGTTACTGAGCTATTGAGTTAGTTTATCATTGGCATTGTTAAGGAAATATATTTAATGTTAGATTCTTGGCTTTATAACTTTTTGGATTTCAGTTGTACTCTAATATATGATACCTTTTTACAAAAGCATTTTCATTAAGTATTTTGAACAATACAATGTAACAGATATGTACAAACATTTAGAAATTAAAATCAAACTGCTCTGCTATCGAATATGGAGTGACTTATTTAAGCAAGTCAACTTGGCTACAGTAGCACATATTTAAAACCAGGCTTTCTTTTGTACCTGATTTTGTGATGTTATTCTTTTTTTTTGTTACTGGTTTCTTCTTTTTATTATGACTTTGTTGATAAAATAAAAAGGCAGCAAAAAGGCAGAGCCTTTTGTCTTTTATTCCAACAGCTCTACAAGACACAATTGTTGCTTCTTCTTGACTCTGTAGCCTCAGGAGTATGATTTATTGTTAAATAATGATTTGGATAATCCTACTTTTTAAAGATATATAGGCAAACCTTAAGCATTTTTAAATGGAACTATGTCTGACTTTCTTGTGCTGTGTAATCCTATGCATGTTTACTCAAACCTGGAGCTTACTCTCAGGTAAGTGTGCTTAAGGAATGTTACCTATATATCTGGATATGTTCAAAGACACCACAATTGCTTACTGAAAACTAAAGCTACAATCACAACAACTTGAGTTAATGCTTAGTCTGGTACGACTTTATTGATGTCAATAAGTTTAAATTTTATTGATAAAAATCAAACTATTTCCACTCTTCCTCCTTCACAGTCTTCCACTGGACATTTCATTTCAACTCAATGCCTCAAAGCACTGCCGGTGAAAACAAATGACACACAATTGGCATCACACCTGAGATAGAAATAGGAAATATCATTTCCATCATGGCTTCCAAAACAGTCAATTCCTACCCAGAATAATGTTTCCAGTGGATAGTTTCCCACATACTCCAACTCTGTTAAGTGTCCAGATTCCAGCATGGAACAACATGAGAAGTCAGTATTATACCCAAAGGTGATCAGAACACTCATAAATTGCCACCAATGGCTGATTATAATTCTCTATGTACCATATTGGCCTGAATATAAGCAGCACCTGAATATAAGCTGCACCTTCATTCAAGGGGGGGGGGGGAGAGAAAAAAATACAATACCTGAATATAACCTGCTCCCTTAAAATTCAGCAGGTGCAAACAAAGTAACAACAAAATAAATAGATAAGTAACATAATATTTATTTTCTCTTTAGTTTATGCATACATGTCAAATGCTGGAATGTTCATTGTGTCCAATTGTTTATTGTGAATATTGACATGTATAAAAAGGATGGCTGTAAACTAATTGAAAAACCAATAAAGATGTCTAAAACTTTAAAAAAAAAAAAATCAGCAGGCACTCACACCCGTTCAGTTTTACCGTATGTCTGTCTCGGCAGTGATATTGTAAAAGCCAATATTTGTAAGGTCATGAATTTAAGCCGCACTTTTAACTTTTCACGGTCGGAATTTGGAAAAAAAAAAGTGTGGCTTATGTTCAGGCCAATACGGTATATATGGGGCATAAGTTGTTTGCCATGAGAACAAAACCCCAGACTTGATCATGACCACCATTTTATCTGGATTGGGCTTTAGTTGGTGAAGTTTCATGGACTGCTTCACCCGTTCAGACACTGTTTCACATATAAACCAGCAATATCAATCATTGCATTTCAATTCTGCTCCTCCCTTCCACCTTTAGATTACATTCAACCAGTTCTGTAGAATTCGAACAGCAGCATTTGGAGTTGAGACCATTTTATCAAAAAATGTCAGTCGTGGTTTTTTACAGAAAGAAAATGTGTGAATGACCAGCAGATGACCCCTGAGCACACGTAATCTACCAACCGCCTGCTGGACCTTCCCTACCAGTGTGCTGGTCAGGTCAGGTCAGAGAGCAGAGATAATGTTGATGGGTGCCACTTGGTTTCCAGATGCATAAGGGTATCCACAATTGCTAACCCAAACCTGCCTACATTACAACAGTGAATCCCAAATGATGGATTAGAATGTCTGTTCTGGGCAGTCTCTGGAATGGCAACTAGGAATCAGCACAGTCAATCCAAAGAGGTAGGTAGTTTCAGGGTCAGAGTTTGGCACTTGCAGATCTGTTCTGAACAGACTCAAACCCACTGCCACTCCTCAAAGGGCATGGGATTGTCTTTAGGAAAATATCTAGAGCCAGGGCGTTATTAGAAATTTCATTTCAGAAGAAGCAGGGATTTGAGAGAGAGATTTTGGGTGCTTTCCCATTTTACTTTTTTGGATGCCATCAGGAAATAGAAATAGGCAGTGGACATTCTGGCTCTGGTATTTTGCATCAAAGGGCAAGAAGAGCCTTGTTGGACCAGACAAAACACCTATCTAGTACAGTATCCCTTTTCTCACAGTGACCAATCTATGGGAGGCCAATGGAACCCATGACAAATGATGAGTTTACTACTGGTAAATATGATTCATCCACAAAGAGCTTGAAGGCTAAATGCTGGTCCTACTGCACTTACCTACAGGCTTTTGTTGGAATCCTGAGATTCCCAGCCATCTTTGCTCTTTTTTGAAAGGACATTTCTATCTTCAGACATACACTTTAAAAATATGACGACAGTATGTATTAAAACGGTCCAGCACCAAAAGATAAGTAAGTATGGCATTCCTGTTAACACAAATAAGATACAAATTGTTTCATTTGCCTTGGACTACAATAGAAGATTCATTTCAGGTTCCTATCATCTGTGGTCTGTTTCCATTACAGTCCTTATTGTGAAATAAGCCAACCATCCTTACTTTTAAGTATTGCTTGGCAAATATTTGCCACGGCAGCATTGATTAAAAAGCTTTACAGAAGATGAAGGCTAAACCTCCAGGACATATCTTTCTAGAAAAATTCTGCCTTGTTTAACTCTCATTACTATACATATTTACCTATGGAACAATGGACCGATTGCCTCACCTCCTGCTCTGACCTTTTGGCTACAATTCACTTTGTTGCATAATGAACTGGATTCCTCACATGGCAATAGATTCCCAGTAAAATTCATTGGTTTGTTTCTGTGAGGCACCTGGATGTCATTGCTAGCCAATAAATATAGATCATGAACATCAGTATGATTTATAAGGTCGCATGTACCATAAGAAGCTGCCTTATCCTGAGCCAGAAAATTGGTTCATCTAGGTCAGCTGGACCATAAAGAAGGCTGATCGCCGAAGAATTGATGCTTTTGAATTATGGTGCTGGAGGAGACTCTTGAGAGTCCCATGGACTGCAAGAAGATCAAACCTCTCCATTCTTAAGGAAATCAGCCCTGACTGCTCACTGGAAGGACAGATCGTGAAGCTGAGGCTCCAATACTTTGGCTACCTCATGAGAAGAGAAGACTCCCTGGAAAAGACCCTGACGTTGGGAAAGATGGAGGGCACAAGGAGAAGGGGACGACAGAGGACGAGATGGTTGGATAGTGTTCGCGAAGCTACCAACATGAGTTTGACCAAACTGCGGGAGGCAGGGGAAGACAGAAGTGCCTGGCGTGCTCTGGTCCATGGGGTCACGAAGAGTCGGACACGACTAAATGACTGAACGACAACAACAACAACAAAGGTCAGTATTGCCCATTTTGACTAGCAACAACTCTCCCAGGATTCAGACAGGAATCTTCCCTGGAGATCCCGAGGATTTAACCTGGGACCATTTGGATGCAAAGTAAGCAAGCCCCATCACTGAATTGTGTTCTCTTCTTATTCATCTGAAGCTATTGCAGGTGTAACAGTGGTTGCCAACACAGCAGCTGTGGGTTCAATAGCACCCTTAAGGTCTTCCCTGATACCTATGAATTCTCTGAGCCTCCCCACACACTGCGCCTTTGATCTTGAGTTGGTGAGAGTGGTTACCTTCTTCTTCCTTGAAAAGTACATGGAGCTGAAAGAGGAAGCTGAAAGAATGACGCTCTTTCCCACTTCCTCTCCCAACTCTATGGATTTTTCAAGATTCAGGTCAATTCTACTGGATCTCTCTTTTAACCAGAGGTACTTGGGAAAAGCAAAGGGTGTGTGCATGCACATTCTACTTTTCTGTTTCTCCAGGGAGGAGAGAGAAGTGACAAGAGGACAAGAACTTACTCAAAAATCCAAATCTGCTCACGGTCGTAAAAAGCCTGGAGATTGCTGAGCTGTAAGAACTGACCAGTTCCAGCAGGGAATTAGCTGGTACAGAAAGTGATCACCTATAGTATGGAAGAAGTGGAATGCAAAGCCTCTCCTTTCCTGTCTCACTGTTCTGTATAATCATATCTTACCCATAAGCAGCCAGTTTAAGTCTGTTTGGCAGACCACTTTGCTAATATAGGTGAGTGCATTTTAACTTAAAAGCACTTGAGAGCAATGCAGTCAAGCACTTTCCAAAGTAACAAAGACCCATGGTGGCCTCGGAAGTCCAGAAATAAATGATCAGGTGACAAGAATGGTACAAGAGGAGATGGTACCAATTGTGCAGAAGCCCTAAACAGATAGCTTCCAATTCTAAACAATGTTGAGTAGCTGTGGTATGTTAAAAGCAAAGGGTTAAGGATTACTTCTTGAAAATTTGAGCATTTAATCAAGTGCAATAATTGTGAATAATCCCTTTGTTATGACAAAGACTCTTTGTTTCGGTGCTGTGGATTTCAAAAGTCATGAGATCTGCTGAAGAGAAGCAGACAGAACAGAGGTAAAAGGTGGATAGTACAGTCGATTCAGTACTTATAACTTGCTCTAGAAGCGGCCTAGGAGGCGATAACCATATTACTTTCACAATCTTGGGCAATCTTTGTGGAAAACACAACGGCAGGAAATTTTCTCTGCTTCAGACCATTGGTCCACATAGCTCAGTACTGCCCACAGTGACTAGCAGCCTGTCTCCAGCTGTTTCCAGGCAGTGGTGTTTACCAGATGCCAGGGACTGAAACCAAGGAATTCTACACAAGAGATAAACAATGTAGTATCCTCTGGAAGTTGTGGACTAGAACTCCCATCGGCCCCCAGTCAACAGTCAATGGTCAGTTAAGATCAAAACTGTGGTCCACAACATCTGGAGTGGAAGGTACCATTTTTGCTACACGAAAAGTCCTACCAATGAGCCGTTGCACAGGTGGCTCATTTGGGAACAGCTTGGATGGCGAGGAAGGTTCTTCCTCAGCTCCCCACAAAGACAGCCCAAGCAAGCATTCTTTGCTGAAGTCTGTGAAAAGCTGAAGAATACCTGGTGCTCCTGTCAAAACACAATGGTGACTGGGGCGGGGGCTGCCACAGAGAGGGAACTTCCACACATTTCATCTGCTCAGCTAAGAGCAAAGGCATGAATGTCAACTTGCTTTGGAAAAAGAAAGTGCACTGTGACCTGGCAGGTCTTCCTGCTTGTTTGCTCAGATAACCTGCCTCCACAACAGGCTTGAGCAAGGGGAGAGGGGAAGAAATTAAACCTTCCAAATGTTGGTAGGCTTCGCAGCTAAGCCACTTCTCAGCTCAGTTTCCTGGTTTTACTGTATTGTCTAATCGCAAGGATAAAAATGACAAGGAATACTGGTATTTGGCCTGAGCCTAAAGAACAAGCAATGCTAGATACATAAGCTAGAAAGCTAGCAAGTCAGGGAGAAAGTCAGGCTACAACCTCTCCTCCTCATGCTTGCATTCCATGTGCAAGCTTTTTTTCTTTTTTAATGTGATGGCAAATAGCCTCCCTCACCTGCATGCCACTACTGTGGTACCTCAGTGGTACCACAGGTTACAGTGGTACCTCAGGTTAAAGACGCTTCAGGTTACAGACGTCACTAACCCAGTAATAGTACCTTGGGTTAAGAACTTTGCTTTATGTTGAGAACAAAAATCAGACAACGGCAGCACGGAGGCAGTGGGAGGCCCCATTAGCTAAAGTGGTGCTTCAGGTTAAGAACCGTTTCAGGCTAAGAATGGACCTACGGAACGAATTAAGTTCTTAATCCAAGGTACCACTGTATTTTGACTTTGCTCTTATGACTGAGGTATGTCTGAATGTGTCATAAAGGGTAGAAAAGGGAAAACTCAACAATGTGTGGGAATGGTTGAATATTAGAGACAGAGAGAGGAAGTGGAGATGCTGTATAGAGGGGACTTTGCCAACTTGGTGCCCTCCAGAGGTTTTGGGCTGAAACTCCCATCAGTCCCAGCACAAGGCTGATGGGAGTTGTGGTCCAAAACCCCTGGAAAGCACAAGGCTGGTGAAAGCTGGCCTAGATTCACTCAGTGTTGGAAATGTGCTTTTTGGTTATGCTGAGTTCCACCCCCTTAAGCGCTAGCACAGCAGGGAGAAAAAACAATGCAGATTATAATCAAGTGGTTCAATTGACCAATAAAAATCAGTAGGAAGACCAATAACAGGCCCAATGAACAGATGCTAACCTATAATCCATTTTACGTGCTCTGGACATACAGTGGCAGCAGCATTTGTACTCAGAAAACTTGGCTTTCGAAGAGGCTGAAAAATGTTTTCAGAAGATTGCTCAGCATCCCTCTATGAATGCCAAGGAACAAAATTATTACACCCCAGCCAGACCAAGCTTTCCAAATGCAAAAAAAGAAAGAAAAAGCTTAAAGCTACTTAGCAAAGAAGGCAATGTCTAAAATTATCTTGTGCAAATGCCAGTCTCTGGGGGACAATACTAGTTAGATTGGCCACTTTGGAGAAACAGAATGCTGAACTAGATGGACCTTCAGTCTGATCCAGCAGTGCTACTCTTGATGTTTTTGTGTTGCCTTTCACAGAAATCATTGAGTCTTCATCCCCAACCATAATAAAGGCTACATACATTCATCCTTTGTTACCCTTGCCCCCCCCCACCTCACTTTCTTGTGTCCTCATCCTCCTGGCCCATATCTAAATTTGAAATGTATGTGCTTCACACCAGGGGACCACCTTTTACTTATGTTATTCTGCAGAACAATAAAGGTATATGAATGAAATGTCAACAGTGACAGGGCCTACAGACCTTCTGAGCTCTAAGCTGGTGTTGCTCAGCGATTAAGAGCATAAGCTATGATAGAGGCACCCTTCGTTTAAACCTCAGTTCAACCGTGAACTCACAAAGGCATACCCTTACGTCTACAAAAGGTGAAGAGCGAGGTAAACCTCAAACAAGTGCCAAGAGGAGAAAATAATGAATTGCCCACAGCACTCCAATTAAAACTTTATCAGGATAATAACTACAAAATGGAAGATGTTATCAAAACAGCTTGAGCAACTCTAAATTCTTCTCTGTTACTCTCCTCTCTTTGCTGCTTTGTTAGTTCAGTCATAATTGTCTCCTGCGCTTTACAGAAGTCACTTTGTCTCCTCAGCCCTTTCCATGCCTTTATTTCCATGTGAGGCAATTGTGGGTTGACTGGGAAGCAGCCCCACCTGCAACTTCACATCCACTTCCTGGAACAGTCACACACAGTGAGCTGTCGTCTGTATGAAACACACAACACATAAGCTTCTGCTGTATGTAAGAGCATCACACATTCAGGATACCTGCACAATCAGGTGACCCAATTGTGTAGAGCCCCTACTGTATGTGTCAGCAGGGATTTGTGGCTTGGGGATTTTATTACAGAGAAGCAGGTGTGATGTTGGGAGCAGGGCTAAATGTGCAGTCTCGCTTTTCGGTCAAGACACAATTGCCCTACACCAGCCTTTCTCAAACTTGGGTCCACATATGTTAGGCCCACATCATCCCTGACCACTGGTCCTGGTAGCTAGGGATTATGGGAGTTCTAGGTTCTAGGGAACCAGGCAGAGGGCCTTCTTGGTAGTGGCGCCCACCCTGTGGAACACCCTCCAATCAGATGTCAAGGAAATAAACAACTATCTGACTTTTAGATGACATCTGAAGGTAGCCCTGTTTAGGGGAGTTTTTAATGTCTGATGTTTTATTGTGTTTTTAATATACTGTTGGGAGCCGCCCAGAGTGGCTGGGGAAACCCAACCAGATGGGCAGGGTATGTATGTATGTACGTACGTATGTATGTATAAACAAACAAACAAACAAACAAAATTATCTAGTCCAACGACATCTGGGCACCCAACACACAAGGCTGCCCTACACACAAGTAACACATGAATGGGTTTTTAATTTCCAACCAGCTTTCCCACCCATCGAATACATGGGGGCAATAATACCGGCCTACCTCACAAGGTGTTAGAAGGATAATTGAGTTAATGTATGTGATGCACTTGAGCAGGTGGGGCAAGGGCTGCAATCTGAGAAGCATGCACTAGTAGAACTTGGAATGCCTAGAAGATTCTGGTGCTCAACAGGACAATGGACACCTCCTTTCCTATCAAGGTACAATCCACCATTCCCTGGGGTAGCTCAGTTGGTACAGCAGAAGACTCATCCTCAGGGTTGTGGGTTTGAGCCCCATGTTGGGCAAAAGACTCCTGCATTGCAGGGGGTTGAACTAGATGACCCTCATGGTACTTTCCAACTTTACAGTTCTATGGTTCCATGATTCTCAGGGCCCCAACAGGTGTGTTGGGAAGGACCTTCACCCAACCCCAGAAAAATAGGAGTAGCAGACAAGCAGCCACCCAAGCTGTCTGATTGGGTACACAAGGGGGTTTCCCTACTCATCAAGTCCAAATCCCCTTCCTCCACTGTCACACTTTCCCCTATTTGACTTTGCTGCTAGTCTCACAGGCAAAATGCAAATCTCTGTCAACATTCGGATGAGAACTGAAGAAGAATGTGCCGCATGTGCAGTTCAGCTTATCTGCCTCGAGAGAAATGTATTTTAGCACGGATAAAAGTGTCGCTGAAAATATTCTAAGAAAACCGAGACTGATCACCAGACAGATTATGCCGGGGATGAGACTAAACACAGTCTGTCAGCTTCTGTGCAGGTATCTGGAGCCAGATCCCAAGGGAAGGTTCCAAGTTTTTGGTTGTTGTTGTTTTTTAATGAGATAAAATTATGGTGAAGATTATCTCTCTTTTGCATAGCTGCAGCCCAGTTTCCTAAACTGCAGGAGGAAGTGAACCAAGAAATTTTCGCATCACTAGAAATGAAAAACAGTTATATGTGCACCCCTGCCCTCTTCTACACTTTGGCATTTGTGAGCTCGGTGCAACAAGACCAGCACCAGGTGCTGCAGTTGCCAGGAGGCTGGGGAAGAGCACTCGACATCTTTGCCCTCCCCAGCACTCCCCTTTACCTGAGGGTAGTTGAGAGAGCCAATTGTAAAGCATCTAGCCTGGTGAGATGACCTACCCCACTCCCTCTGCACTGTATGACTTTCATTTTGCTCTGTATTTATATATTAAATTCAGATTATATCCTGGTAATATTGGTTTATTCTATATTCATTGATTTGGCTGTATTTGAATTTATTGCTGTTTTGTATACTGTACTGGTCTCTCTCTCTCTTTCCCTCCCTCCCTCTCTCTCTCTCTCTCTCTCACACACACACACACACACAGACATTTTTCATTTTGATAACTGGATGCTAGTTGCAAAACACTTTGGGCACAGTTCACTGTGAAAAAGCAGAATACAGTCATACCTCATGTTACGTTTGCTTCATGTTATGTGTTTTCAGGTTGTGTCCCGTGGCGACCCGGAAGTACCAGAAAGGGTACTTTCACCACTCGTGCATGCGCAGAAGTGCTAAATTGTGCTTCGCGAATGCACACAAGCGCAAAATGGCGCCACGCACCTGCGCAGATACGGCGTTCAGGTTGTGGGTTTTTCATGTTGCGAACGGGCCTCCGGAATGGATCCTGTTTGCAACCAGAGGTACCACTGTATAAAAAAAACTAAACTAATGACTTGTTGAGATAGTGGATTATTGGGCCATACCAGGTGGGGGTATCATTTCTGAATGTTCTCCTTTGCAAAACAACAACAACATGTAGTAAACCAGAAATCCAGTAAAAATGATTTTTTTTGTAGCTCTGCCCAGGGCTTTTAAAAGAAAATATGGGTCAACGTTCAAGAGAATGACACCCCATCTGAAGTCTAAAATAGTACAGTCCAGAATCCCATCACCTCTGTCTCCCTACCACCCCATTTGGCATAATGGGTACAGTCATAAATACAAATAACAAACTCATTCTCAGAGTGCTGATCTGTGTAAGGCAAAAAGGGACCATCCTTGCACAAGTGCAGGGGATCAGCTGAGGAACCCCAACTTTTTCAGGAAGTACAAAAAACTTTAGAGTGGGAATGAGGGGGGTGAGAACCAAAAACAGCCCAATCACCACTGAACGTACTCAATGCTCAGTCAGTGCTGATTGGCTGATGTGGGAGAACACAAACACAGTAGGATGGAAGAGGGCATGGCTGGCTGGAATCTAGAACAAGAGAACTTCCCGTTGCAACATTTTGTTGCAAGTTTCCATTGTGGCCCTTATTTCAGACTGCCCAAACCTCTGTCAGTGATATTAGTGATGGAAGAATAGTTGAGCAAATGAGTCAGAACTATTTCATATCACAATCAAGAATTTTCCTACATGGGTCAAGGCGGAAAATACACACACCTTTGTGTGTGAATATCATTCCACTGTTTACTGTGCTACCTGGACCTGTTAGGAAGATGCCGCTTCCAGGAAGGTGTAGAGGTGGCAAAACAAGCACTCTACATACCATTGCCCCATATCATGTAGGAAAAATGTGTGCGATGCAGTCTGCAAATACAGGCCCTGACAGTTTCAGAACTGCAAAGAGGACCTCTGTTAAAAACACCCATCTTTGATTTGAAAAAAATTCCCTTGAAAAGTATGATTTCCTGGAACATGTGAAATTCTAAAGAGTCTTTTTTCCTTTCATTAAAAAAAAGTCACTTCCTATATTGATCTGGACAAGTGAGGAAGTTTGGCATAATTAAAAAGTTTAAATATTTAGATTGAACCAAAATGAACAGACAAGAACGGTTGCAAGAGTGTTGTCTAAAGTGACCTATATTCGACCACACAAAAAAACAAAGCGACAGGAAAGCAGAGAGTGGGGGGAGAAGGGGGAGGAATTACTCCAAGGCTGTGTTCGAAATTCATTCATTCACATTAGTGACACAGTCGACATCTAAATTAATTGGATCAGAACGCCCAGGCGGATTCATTAAGCCTAGAAATCAGATCAAAGTCTGCACGCGAAATTAAACAATACTCTTCGGAAAGGGAGCCCGAAGGGACTCTCCTACCCAGCTGATCTTTTCGTGTGTGCAGAGCTAAGGAGTGCTAGGAAAGCGTCATCTGTAGGAAAGGCAATAATGATTCTAGGCGGCGCAGCGGGGTATCCAAGAAGTGAAAATGCAAGAATACTCCTATGATAGGAGTCCGGCGCCTGTTAAACCTGTTGCTCGTTACGCTGCTCTTAAAATTAGCACCGCGCAAAAAACATCTGGGGACATAAAACGAAGCAAATGCAAGAGAAGGCGCCAAAACAGCAGATAAATAGATCAATCGCGTAAGCAAATTAATAATCCCTCTCAACAGCATAACTCCAGCCTGTCGCCATCGCCGGATCAAGAAACTTGTGTCAGGTGTGGAGGTGGTGGGGAGAGGTTAGATGTGCAGGTTGGAGATCCGACATAACAAGCAGTACTTCATATTTTATTGGTCAACCAAACACAGTTTATCGCCAAGTAGTACTTACAGCCAGGTTCTGCCTGCAGCAAGCAGCAAACGTGAGGAGGAAAGACTGTTGGGTCCGGATCCTGATAACTGCAGCGCGGCTCCTTCACAGCTCAGTCAGATTCAGCAGCCTCCCTCCACCACCACGCCAGAAAGAGGCGCCTAACAGAAGACGGAAATTAGGAATGCGGAGGTTGCCTTTCGAAGAACTCGCCCCCTGGGAAGAAGGGGCAGCGGGGCAGCCGAGCCCTGCCTTGCGAAGAGCCCGCCAATCCCGAGCGCCTCCTCCCACGATCCCGCCCCCTGAGGTCGCTTTCGGATCCTTCCCAGCGCGGCTGCTTGTAAACAGTGCGAGAGAGACGCTTTGTCGCCTTCTCAATGGAAGCCCACGTGGAGAGGCGGGGCGCCGAGCGCGTAGGAGGAACCCGGCGGGCGGCGGGGGCGGTGGAAACGGAGCAGCCTCCCATTTCCCATCGCTGCGATGCGATTGGCCGAGCCAGGAGACGCCCTTTTCACAGATCGGTGGCACACTCAGGTAGTGCTCCTTCACTGGGGCGGCGCCCCCATAGCTATCCCACTAAATATCCAAGTTGGTGACCGTCACTGCCTCTTATGGGAGTAAATGCCATAGTTTAACCACAGCGACTTTGTTAAGATACATTATTTTGCCCGCCCTGAATCTTCCAACATTGAGCGTCATTGGATAACCATGAGTTATGGCAGAGGGAGAAAAACTCTGCCCTGTCTACTTTCTCCCATGCTTTACACCTCTTACTCACCTATTCTTGGAACCAAAAAGCCTCAAATGTTGCCTCCTGGTGCTTCAAGACAAGTGGTCATGGATAATGGGAGCTGTAGTCCAAAAACAGCTGGAGACCAAAGTTTGGGAAACACTGCTATACTTCTTCCAAGCACTGGAATGTTTTGCTTGTTGCAATTTTATATAACTTCCCTGCACAGGAATCATAATGAATGCTCAGTGGATAGCCAATGTCATCTAGGCTGCCTCTGCAATCTTTGTGCCAACATATCAGCTCGAGGAACAGGTTGTATGGCAGTGGCCTAAGAATTCGTTATATTACTGCTTGCAGAAAGTTTTTGGGGAGGCCTTATGACCTTCCATCAATCAACTGTTAATCTGGAATTGGTGCTCTTACACAATAAACCTGCTAGACACGGAACATCGAAATATGACGGGCAGTGGACAGTACTTTTCCAAACCAGACAAACTGGGAATTGGTAGCATGAAACACTTGGGGAGATGCAATGGATCTTGGCTTTCCTGGATTATATGAGATTAAAAAGAGTTTGTAACATGAGCCTCAAATGCTATAAATTCAAGGAGTCACACAATGCTCATCTGTAATTTATACCTGTTTAGATCTGGTGGACCTCAGTCATTTTCTTCCAAAGGCTCCTTTTCTACATTTACTGTGTTTAGCAACCAGAGGATATAATTTATTTCCTGTGGCATCCGGGAATTTCATAAATGAATCATGTGTTAATCTAACCACACCTTGGGAAATAGGTGTGGTCTAGCTTGCTATAATGACAACTGTCTTTGTAGGAGATCTGTATTGTAATATATGGGCTCTTATGAACGCGGGTGGTGCTGTGGTCTAAACCAGCAAGCCTCTTGGGCTTGCCAATCATAAGGTTGGCAGTTCTAATCCACACGACGAAACACCGGCTCCCTCAGTGGAATTCAACTGGACTTAACCATCCAGGAGTCCTTTACCTTTACCTTTTACATATGCTCTCTTAGAAATGGACACCAATTTTTCTATGGCTTGCCATTTCTTCAGCTGTATATTAGATGACTACATCTCAATTGGAAGATGTTATTATTATTACAGGTGTCGTTCAAGGGTTAGCCATTGTGAAATTGCAATTAAAACAAACTGTAATTAAAGCACTGATGAAAAAAGTCATCATATTGAACAGTGTTGCCAGTTAGCCTGAATTACATAGGCAATATTGGTCTTCTATACTTTTGGAAAACATGGCCACTATTGCCTATAGAGTCATACCATGAATTTATAACCATATTTCAACAAGTGTGATTTACCGTATTTTTTGCTCTATAAGACTCACTTTTTCCCTCCTAAAAAGTAAGGGGAAATGGGTGTGCGTCTTATGGAGCGAATGCAGGCTGCGCAGCTATCCCAGAAGCCAGAACAGCAAGAGGGATTGCTGCTTTCACTGAGCAGCGATCCCTCTTGCTGTTCTGGCTTCTGAGATTCAGAATATTTTTTTTCTTGTTTTCCTCCTCCAAAAACTAGGTGCGTCTTGTGGTCTGGTGCATCTTATAGAGCGAAAAATATGGTATCTTGGAATCATGCCCTACAGACATCCAGCATGGTTATGGTCTTGAACAGCTCCCATTCATTTCAACAGAGCTTATGAAGGAGAACATCCCGGCGGGTGGTGCTGTTTGGGTCAGATCTGTCTGCCGCCCATTTTGTGGTGCTCCAAATCTACTTCATCTCATGTGATGATAAGGGAGATTAAAGAAGATAAGGGAGATTTGTGTTATTATTTAGAGAAGTACATTATCATCATCAGATTCAGAGAAAATGTTTACATTTTACATGTTTTTGGCATTGAAAGACAATGAAGCAGGCCTCCGGGGGTGAAATGAAACTGTTGCACTAGCAGCACCAAAGTGACCTCCTGGGGCACAAGCCTGGGCATTGTGTATGGAGGTCCTG